CCCCCCCCCCCCCCCCCCCTCTCTCTTTTTCTCTACACTTCTTATTCTTAGTTTTTCCTCTAATAATAGAAGGACATATATAGGGAAACCAAAACCCTATCTCTAGCCTAACTTCCTACTTAGAATAAGATTCAAACTCCTAATTATGATGGAACCTAAACTTCTAATCATGATAGATTTCTAAATCTATCTAATTCTCATAAAGTTCTACAAAGAATTAAAAACACTATACTAACTTGGAGTTTGAGTTGATACCCAACAATTTTGCTTTATCCAAATCAAACAACTCATTATTATTGTTTTCGATCCCCATTTAGTTTTCCATATGAATCCATTAAGAAACATGATTAATGCCATTTAGTTTTCATATGAATCAGTTCAGAAAAATGTTGGTTTAATGATTTAAAATTTCATGATCGAAAATGCTTGGTTCAGCTACCTAATTGGGTATTGGATCAGTTTGGGGGTTTCAGTACCTTAAAAATGAAGTTATTAATTAGGTGTATTGATCATAAACTTTTTATTCAAGTTATTATTTTTCTAATCCTTTTCAGAGAGGCATATACTAAAGAATGTAGAAAAGTCTAGTTGACGTTTCAAAACATGGGACACGTTTTTCCTAATAATTTTGTCATACCCATGAATTCTTCACCAATCTGATGTAAAGTTGGTGTCATGTTGACAATACTAGCGATGCCACTTGGTCAATCCTTTTGTTAACGTGTTCTCTCCAATGGAATCATGTTACATCAGCCGTCTCATTTTGATAGGCTTGTCTATTTTATGACCGAGATGGTGATATAACAATATAGCCTTCTCAAGCAATTAAACTGTTAGAATGAGGGTGAAGATCAAACCTCATTTCCGATGAGGAGCGCCGGCGAGGAGCTCCGACGAGATCGATGTCGTCGCGGGCGGAGCTGGAGGCGTAGCCCAGGTGAGATTCGACGGCAGCGCAGGCGAGCTTTTGCTCTGCGTTCGAATCTCCGGATAGCTCTGCGTTCGCCCCCCAGAACTCTGCGTTCGCTCATCTCTGCGTTTGTTCGACCTCTGCGTTCGGCTCGAACTTGGCGTCGAAGCGGATGCTGGCGACAGGCTGTCGCCAGCCCTCCCCCATCGCCTATTTAAACCCCCCCCATCAAGCTAGGGTTTCGGTGTAGAGCCTTCCCCCTTCTCCGTTTGTTCTTCCCTGGCGGCGGCGGAAAACCCCCAAATCGCAGCTGCGATTTTGTGATTAAATCCCAGCATTCAACAGTGCAGGTTGAGGGGATTTAAGAAGAGAGAGAGGGAATTAGAGAGGGGTTTTAATTTTGGGGTTATTTATTCTCAAGTGAGAGAAATTGAAAGGGTTCATACCCTTTGATTATTAACACTGTAGCTACAGTGTTTATTTGAGAAATCTCAGTTTTGAGATCTGCTCCTAAATTGTAATTTCTTGTTTGATTAATAAGAAATTATCTGTGTGGCTCCCGAGGACGTAGGCAGTTGCCGAACCTCGTTAAATCTTGTGTACTGTTCTCTATTCTGCGTTTTTCGTTGCATTAGGGATTTCGGCCTTTAAATTCCCAACAACTGGTATCAGAGCGTGAAACGATCTAGAACAAGTCAGATTCAAGTGGGAGCCATGGCCACAGATGAGGCAAAAATGAGACTTGAGAAATTTGATGGAACAGATTTCGGATTCTGGAAAATGCAGATAGAGGATTATCTGTATCAGAAAAATCTGTATCAACCACTATCGGGGAAGAAGCCAGATTCTATGAAGGCAGATGAGTGGAACCTTCTAGATAGACAAGCCCTCGGAGTTATCAGATTGACGTTGACTCGCAATGTTGCGTTCAACATAGCAAAGGAGAAGACCACGGCAGGTCTTATGGCAGCACGCCCAAATATGTATGAGAAGCCATCAGCCGCGAACAAAGTTCATTTGATGCGGTGGTTATTCAATCTGAAAATGGCGGAAGGCGCGTCAGTAGCACAACACCTCAATGAACTTAATACGGTTACAACCCAATTGAGTTCAGTTGAGATTGAGTTTGATGAAGAAGTTCGGGCGTTGATATTGTTGTCTTCCCTACCAGAGAGTTGGAACGCTACAGTCACAGCTGTGAGTAGCTCGTCGGGAAAGAAAAAGTTGAAGTTCGGCGACGTTCGTGATTTGGTTCTCAGTGAGGAGATCCGACGGAGAGAAACGGGTGAAGCTACAACCTCTTCAGTATTGCATACAGAGTCAAGAGGTAGAAATTCAACCAGAGGAAACGGACGAGGAAAATCAAACTTCAGAGGTAGATCAAAGGACAGGAGGTCCAAATCAAGGAATCCAAGCAACAGCTCGAAGGCTATCGAGTGTTGGAATTGTGGAAAGACCGGGCATTACAAGAATCAGTGCAAGAGTGCACAGAGAGAGAAGGAGGCGAAGGCAGAGGTGAATGTCACCTCCACTTCAGGAGGAGACGACGCATTGATATGCTCTTTGGAGAGCAAGGAGGAATCTTGGGTGTTAGATTCAGGAGCGTCGTTCCACGCTACTTCTCAGAAAGAATTCTTCGAGAAGTATACCCCCGGAAATCTTGGATACGTATATCTTGGTGATGATCAACCACGTGCTATTGTGGGCAAAGGAGTGGTGAAAATTAAGTTGAACGGGTCAGTATGGGAGCTGAAGGATGTTAGGCATATACCCGACCTGAGAAAGAATTTAATATCCGTAGGCCAGTTGGCTGGCGAAGGATACACCACAACCTTCCATGGAGATGATTGGAAGATCTCAAAGGGCGCAATGACAATTGCCCGAGGCAGAAAGACTGGTACCCTATATATGACAGCAGGTGCACGTTGTTTGATCTCAGTTGCAGCAGGCAATGAGACTTCAAAGCTGTGGCACAAGAGACTCGGTCATATGAGTGAAAAGGGGATGAAAATTATGCACACAAAGGGAAAACTCCCAGGACTGCAGTCAGTGGAGATGGATATGTGTGAAGAATGTATACTTGGAAAGCAGAAGAGAGTCAGCTTTCAGACAAGTGGCAGAACCCCCAGGAAGCAGAAGCTAGAGCTCGTTCACTCAGATGTTTGGGGACCAACAACCACCGCGTCCATTGGTGGAAAACACTACTTCGTGACTTTTATCGATGATCACTCTCGGAAAGTGTGGGTCTACTTTCTGAAGCATAAGTCAGAAGTATTTGAGGCTTTCAGGAGATGGAAAGCTATGGTCGAGAATGAGACCGGTCTGAGAATAAAGAAGCTCAGGACCGACAATGGCGGTGAATATGAAGACACCGGATTCAAGAAGTTCTGCTATGAGCACGGGATCAGAATGGAGAGAACCGTGCCCGGCACGCCTCAGCAAAATGGTGTAGCTGAGCGGATGAACCGAACGTTGACAGAGAGAGCCAGAAGCATTCGAGTACAATCAGGCCTACCGAAGCAGTTCTGGGCAGAAGCGGTCAACACAGCAGCTTACTTGATCAACCGAGGTCCATCGGTTCCATTGGAGCACAGAATACCAGAGGAGGTATGGTGCGGAAAGGAGGTAAAACTCTCACATCTTAAAGTTTTCGGTTGTGTAGCTTACGTGCATATTAGTGATCAAGGCAGGAATAAGCTTGATCCCAAGTCAAAGAAATGCACTTTCATCGGCTATGGTGAAGATGAGTTCGGCTACCGCATTTGGGACAACGAAAACAAGAAGGTGATCCGGAGCAGAGATGTGATATTCAACGAGAAGGTGATGTACAAGGACATGCACAAGACTGACGACTCAGAGAGCGAGTCCACATTTATAGATGCAGATGATGTCCCGAGTAACCTCTCGGAAGAACCCAATGCAGAGGGTCCTCAGCAAGAAGAGCCTGTTGGACAAGATGGTGCGCAGGAGCCCGACGCACCAGCTCCGATATTAAGAAGATCTTCTCGTCCTCCTGTACCCAACAGGAGATACATGAACTATCTGTTGTTGACAGATGGTGGGGAGCCTGAAAGCTTTGATGAAGCTTGTCAGTGTGGAGATGCGAGCAAGTGGGAGCTTGCAATGAAAGATAAGATGAAGTCTTTCATATCAAACCAGACGTGGGAACTAGCTGAGTTGCCCACGGGTAAGAAGGCACTCCACAACAAATGGGTGTACCGGGTGAAAGAGGAGCAGGATGGTTCCAGGAGATATAAAGCCCGATTGGTTGTCAAAGGTTTCCAGCAGAAGGAAGGAATTGACTACACCGATATTTTCGCTCCCGTGGTGAAGCTAAATACTATCAGGACCGTGATGAGTATTGTAGCAATTGAAGATCTTCATCTCGAGCAGTTAGACGTGAAGACGGCGTTTCTTCACGGAGATCTAGAAGAGGAGATATACATGCACCAGCCAGAAGGTTTCTCAGAAGAAAAGAAGAAGAACCTGGTGTGCAGACTCAAGAAGAGCTTGTATGGCCTGAAACAAGCCCCAAGACAGTGGTACAGAAAGTTTGACGGTTTTATGCACAAGGAAGGTTTCCAGAAGTGCAACGCAGACCACTGTTGCTACTTCAAAAGATATCAGTCCAGCTATATCATCCTACTGCTGTATGTTGATGATATGTTGGTTGCAGGAGCAGATATGGAGGATATCAAGAGTTTGAAGCAGCAGCTGTCAAAGGAGTTTGACATGAAGGACTTGGGTCCAGCGAAGAAGATCCTTGGAATGCAAATCACGAGAGATAAGAAGAGAGGTCTCTTGCAGTTATCTCAGACGGAGTACATCAACCGTGTTTTGCAGAGATTCAACATGGGAGATGCCAAGCCTGTGAGCACACCCTTGGCCAGCCATTTTCGTTTATCGAAGGATCAGTCTCCTCAGTCAGAAGAAGAGAAAGAGAGTATGGCTCAGGTTCCTTACGCCTCAGCTATCGGAAGTTTGATGTACGCAATGGTCTGTACGCGACCAGATATTGGCCATGCAGTGGGAGTGGTCAGCCGGTTTATGTCGAATCCAGGAAAAGCTCATTGGGAAGCGGTCAAGTGGATTCTGAGATATCTACGAGGCACCACACAGAAGTGTTTGCACTTTGGTAAGGGAGAGGTAGAAGTGCAAGGGTACGTAGATGCAGACTTTGGAGGTGAAGTTGATCACCAAAGAAGCACCACCGGCTATGTATTCACCGTCGAAAGTACAGCTGTTAGTTGGATGTCACAGGTACAGAAGATCGTTACCCTATCCACTACAGAAGCTGAGTACGTTGCAGTGACTGAAGCCAGTAAAGAGATGATATGGCTTCAGGGTTTGTTGACAGAGCTGGGATTCAAACAGGAGAAGAATGTTTTGCACAGTGATAGCCAGAGTGCGATACACTTGGCAAAGAATTCAGCATTTCATTCCAGAACGGCGCCGGCGAGGAGCTCCGACGAGATCGATGTCGTCGCGGGCGGAGCTGGAGGCGTAGCCCAGGTGAGATTCGACGGCAGCGCAGGCGAGCTTTTGCTCTGCGTTCGAATCTCCGGATAGCTCTGCGTTCGCCCCCCAGAACTCTGCGTTCGCTCATCTCTGCGTTTGTTCGACCTCTGCGTTCGGCTCGAACTTGGCGTCGAAGCGGATGCTGGCGACAGGCTGTCGCCAGCCCTCCCCCATCGCCTATTTAAACCCCCCCCATCAAGCTAGGGTTTCGGTGTAGAGCCTTCCCCCTTCTCCGTTTGTTCTTCCCTGGCGGCGGCGGAAAACCCCCAAATCGCAGCTGCGATTTTGTGATTAAATCCCAGCATTCAACAGTGCAGGTTGAGGGGATTTAAGAAGAGAGAGAGGGAATTAAAGAGGGGTTTTAATTGTGGGGTTATTTATTCTCAAGTGAGAGAAATTGAAAGGGTTCATACCCTTTGATTATTAACACTGTAGCTACAGTGTTTATCTGAGAAATCTCAGTTTTGAGATCTGCTCCTAAATTGTAATTTCTTGTTTGATTAATAAGAAATTTACAGTGTGGCTCCCGAGGACGTAGGCAGTTGCCGAACCTCGTAAATCTTGGTGTACCTTTTTTCTATACTGCGTTTCTGTTGCATTAGGGGTTTCGGCGTTAAATTCCCAACATAAACAAGCTAAAATTATGTCAGCTTTTGACTTAAAGAACTCTTGTAATTGTTTTAATTCGTGTAGATACTCTTTAGAGCTGCACATGGTTCATCAGAGTGCGGATAAGAAAATAGCCGTTGTCGGCATTATGTACAAAATTGGTCGGCCTGATCCCCTCCTAGCAAAGGTAACACTTGTAAATTGACTTTTAAGCGTATTGAATCCTAATTAACATATACCCAATTGCTAACTCACTCAATTTTTGTATGAATTTAAAAATGTCAAGATGGAGCATTACATTACAATGCTGAAGGATGCGGAGGGAGAAGAGGAAAAATTGGGCATGATAGATCCAGAGGATGTCAAGTGGGGGAGCAGAAAGTACTACAGGTACATGGGATCCCTTACAACTCCCCCTTGCACCGAAGGGGTCATGTGGACCATCATCAAAAAGGTTAGCTCATGACTAATTTAACGCGTCGTATAATATTGTTCTAAAGAGTTGAGCTAGATTATTGTAGATAGTATGTATCCAAATTGCAGATTGTACAATTATACCGTAGTTTTTCTGAATTGAAATCTATATCTCTATAGTTGATATACGACACACGGACTATCTAGAATCCAAAAAATTTTCAATAATTTGGACATGTTTTCAATCGTGTATGTCATGGACCAAAAGAAAAAAGTTCTTGGAAGTTCTCATAACAATGATATTGGCAATATGACATGTATGGTTAAACATTAATTGTTGTAGCCATGTGATATTTTATTTATAATAAATAAACGGTTTATATTAGAGCACATCCAATCCAGATTCTAAATTTAGATATATAATAGTATCCTAGGTCAACTTTAAAGGGGAAAAAACAAGTCACATAATTTAACTTATCTAATTTCACTTTATCTCTATCCTATTTTTCCATTGACTTATGAGGAGTGATAATTTTGCCTAGTGCTGAGTCAACTATGTACATGGCAGGTGAGGACCGTATCAAGGGAGCAGATTCACTTGCTGAGGGAAGCAGTGCATGATGTACGTATCAGTAACAAAGTCCTAACTTGAGTGCCCTGATTCAAAAGTATGGAACTTTTGGTCTGAAACTAATTTGTTTATAATTGAAATTGTTTATTATTTGCAGGAATCGCAGATGAATGCGAGACCTAAGCAGGAAATTAATGACAGGGTGATTGGCTTGTATCGTCCCCGCAAAGTTCGATATTAATTAGACGGGAGATAATGATTAATATATATATATATATATATATATACCTTTTATATGCAACTATGTTGGACATGAAGGGTATATCTGAAAATAAAATAGGTGCAAGCTGTCCTAGACGTCCAGAATCACTCTTACAGGTTTAATTAATTTATATGTTTTTTCTTGGAGATAATAAAATGAGTGTCATTTGAATAGTCTTGGTTCTACATGAAATTTGGATGTGAAGAGAAATTTCTACTCTTGATATATCTTTTTATTCATGTTGCTTGGAGATTAGTTTGGGTGAATAGGTAATTGAAACTGTTTTAAGCTTATTAGAGCATCTCCAAGAGTGATCTTAGCTTTTTTCTATATTTGAAGAGCAAATCTCTCATCCTAGAAAATAGGGAGCAAATAACGAGTAAGTGCTCCAACAATGCTCTCCAAATGGCTTCCTATCTCATGTCCTAGACCAAATATTTGTTATCCTTAATTTGGAATACCAAATCATATTCCTTATATTTAGTCTCCAACATAGGGAGTCTGTTGGAGCAACTTTTTCCCCTCCTACTCCTTATATTTAGTCTAGGACATGAGATAGGGAGGCTGTTGGAGATGCTCTTACCCCAAACTTTATAGATCCCCCGAGCGTGAATCACCCTCCCCCCTTTCCTTACTGTCAAAGAAAGAGAAAATTGTTTTTGTGAATGGGCCAACCCACGTGAAGAGTTCACGCGAGATAGTGACGTTCTCAATTGACGTGAGTGGGCCCAACAATTCTTGAGCTGCGATTGAGAACGAATTCATGTGAAGAGCTGCGCGCATGAAGAGAGTGAACGCGTGAACAGATCAAGTTTTGAGAACGTGTGGGACAGCGGCTCAGGCCCACCCGATTTCACCTGCTATAAATAATAGCAAATGTCCCTAGGGCAGTGTGCAAAAAAAAGATAGAGGCT